TTTTCCATAAACCTCAGTTGAAGATGCAAATGGTGAGACATGCAGAGGGGTCCATTTTATTTCAGGTTTGCTGTATTTCAACTACAAGCAATACAACTTTAAGACAAAAGAATGACTTTAGGTTGTGCTGGTGACGTTTTTGTGTCACTTCCATTTACTGCAGCACTCAAAATGGCCCTGCATAATTCTGTTGTCCCCTACAGTGCATGAGTATGAGGTTCAGGCTACACAGAAACACAGAATTATGCTGATAGTACAAAATGTTCTGTATTTTTCTGGCATGTCAGAAATTCATTTTGCGGCCTTTATTCTACCCACATGATTATCTGTGTGTTGGTTTGAAATGCAGAATCAGCTTGTTTTCACATAGAAAAGGGAAATAACACAAACACCTTTTTTCACCCACAATCAAGACTGCACTCGGTAATCCGTTTTATTTGCCCAACCTGCTGACCTAACCCCAAGTATATATTTACTCTACCCGCCTCATCCATAAAGCCATTGTTTGTGTTGGAGGGGCTTGAAGGAAGTGCAAAAGTCACAGGAGTCTGGCAAAACCGAGAGATGTTGGAGTTATTTTAAACGGAAATGTGCATCTAAATTTGGAGAAGGTGTACAGCCTTATGTTATCACGACATGGGTTGACAGGACTGTGCGTGAGTAATGACGGGCATAAAATAATAGAGGCGTTCCAATGAAAGCAAACAAACAAAAAAATCCAAATTTCAGCTCAACCGTTCAACTATGGAAAGCCTCTGATGTTTAGACTTATTCATTGTGGGAACCGGGGGACATTAAGTCACTTTTCCCATGTGCTGCTGCCTCATTTTTAGCCGGCATGTTTTTAATGGACCAAGCATTCTTCCCAAAAAAGCAGAATAATTTTATATTATTTTTAGAAAACACTTGTGGCCTCATAGAGAGACCACTGATTGTTTTGCAAAATAGGTTTAACATTTTCTTAAACTACTGCAATCTCGCCTAATTATTGTCATTTGTTTCTTATTGCATTTTGGTGGCTGTAATGGTCAAACAGCTTGAGACTCTGCCCACATCTCAAGTCAATTTTCCCATGTTTTGAACAGTAAAGGCAGAGAAAATAGGCATTCATTCTTGTTTTTTGAAGGTTTCCAAAACTCTGTGGCCAGCCACAGTTTCCTGTCTCAACAGCAGAAAAAGCTAAAGAAATTGCTTTACATGTCACACTGCTGATAACTTAGAAAAGGTATCTCATTACTTAGTGAATAAGAACACTAAGTACTTTGTGCCCATTTTAAAAAGGGCTCTTTTTGGTCAGCACAATGAAACATCTGTTCACTTCTCTCTGTAAGATAAATAAGAGCATATGAGGGTTAAAACAAAACAAGGTTAACATCTAAATCACATGAGGGGCCAGAGGCATGAACATTTATAAAGAAAGACTGTGTGACCATTTGATTTAATTTTAAGCCTTATATGATGGAGTTAAAAGCATGGTATAGTTATATTTATCTGGTTTCCTTTCTCATCACATGGGATAATATGCTTGTTTTTATTGTGAATAACTACATACATCACAGGCATGTGTAATGACTGGGGATGGAGGATTTTCCATTTTTGAAAATTATTATGATTTTCAAGTTCAGTTTTAGATCATATGCTGTTTTGTGTTTAAAAATATTGTTTATCTGTTCATTTCTGTCTCCCTTTAATTGATCTCGCTGCAGAACAGTATACTGTTGTGCACCCTGTTGAAGGTGTACCATTTATTGTCTAGCTTTGCTACAACCCTGGATAGGAAAAATCAACTAAGGAAAATGAATACAAATCCCCAAACTGCAAACCACCAAATTACAGATTTTTGCAGGGGTACAAATAATTATTTTATTTGCAGATGTAAGGGAAGTGTCCTCATCTGTTCAAGGTTGAAAACGATAATGAAAAATAAGATTGTCATTTCACAACATTTTTTCCTGTCAAATAAATCATTTTTCTTAAGATAAAAAAACAATAACACATACTCACTCTGCATGCAAAGTTCTACCATAGTGTAATTGAGGTAAGTTTTAGTCATGATGCTAAACACCATTATCTGTGCCTCGTGCATCTGTATGAAGATAAGTCTATGAAGAAGAATTTGCCAACATTAAGCTGTAACGGCCTCTGCCGGAAGATGGAAAACCAACCCGTGTGGATTTTATGTTCGGTTGGAAAACTGTCAAAAAAGAGTTAAAAATCAATATGCTACTTCAACATGCCAAATAAAACAACTTAATTTGTCTCCACATAACTCTGCCGCTTGCTGTAATTCCTGTGTGTAGAATTTCTGCTCCCATGTCTCGTACTGTCAGTCATTACTGCATGCAACAACTTGAGCTTTATGAATTACATTCCTCAGTAGGAGATAATTTGCTGTGTATTTAGATTTATGTCTCCTCCTCAGCCATCATTATCTTCCACAGCAGCACAAGTTTTATGTGTATCTCTGCGACATGTCAGAATTACCTCAATTTCATTCCTGTTTATCACAGATCTTGCAGCATGCCATCATTCAGATCCTTGGATCATGCTGTTTTGCATATTTCAAACCCCTCATGGTTGATGTGGTAAAGCATCATATAACAGACCAAGAGGGTGTGGTTACCTAAATACCCTCATTTTACTACTGAGGAGGGGGGCAGAGAAGGCTTTAATTCAGTGGAAAGTGGTTATTCTATATTTGCCCCGACCATACAGTGACTCCACCCTCCACATGTCCCACATAAAGTCGTTCCAGTAGAGGAGTTTACGCATGCTCAACCTCTCCGCATTAACTTTGGTCGCTAATGGTGAAGACCTGACAGCACTTTCGACAAAAATAGAACAACCAATCTACCCTGGCCATAATCTCTTGTTATCATTTGTGTGAGCACATTTGCAGTGCACTGAAATAGTAAAGCGCTGCCACGTGTGAGTGTAGATGGATAAATAAATGAGAAAAGATATAGGATTAGAGAAAGAGATTGTAGAAATGCTGAAGTGCTGTATGTGGGTGGGGTCAGGTGGACAGAAATGGCTTAGACCACATCATATGCAAAGTTTGGGTAATTACTGGTTTTGATGACTGAAATAGCTGGGCCCAGAGTGGTAAACACTCTGACAGTCAGGGCAGCTGCCTGTGCAGTATCCTTCATAGAGATAAAATCCAAAAGTTCGAACCAGATGCTCAAACATTTAATTTCAGAAAAGAAATCAGGAACTAAAACAAAACGAGGAAATCACAGAGCAATTTTGGTGTAGCTGAAATAATTCAATTAATACCTTTATGTTATGTTATTGATTATCTTTTGTTTTTGTTTTTGTTTTTTGCATCTTTGTATCCTTAATTTTCTGTGAGGGGGGCATAAAGGTGTACTAGAAAAAATATGTTTCATCCTGTAATAAAATGAATGTCAACCTGTCAGATGCAGTTTTGCACATTTCAAAACGGTGGTCAGAAACTGCTTTGTCTGTGTGCCCTCTGTAAGAACCCGCCATGATGTATGCAATATAAAAGGGAAGTTGAAATAAATGTTATCAGCTATTAAAACCAATTCATGATGCTGAGTCACAGAAGCAGTGACACATGTCTCATCCTTCCTAAAAGTATGCAGCAGAAAGACAATTTCTATAAATCATGTGAGTTGTGGAAAACTCATCTGGAAAATGATCATCTGGACTCACATTTAAGCATCAAAGATGCAAGTTTTAACACAAAAAAAACAAAGAACTTTTCTTTTTTTCTGTTTGGACCTGCTCCATTTGCCATATTCATTCATGTTTAGGTTTTAGGATGTTTAATGTGGTTAAAACATGCAGAAATTCAAGGATGTTATCCGGTGACTAATGCATAATTTCCATTTTTGACCTTCAAAAACGAGATGATTCAAACTGAACGTAAATTAGTAATTTATTGCAACAAAACAAAATGCATAAAGGAAACATCAGCAAACGGCTCTAGCTGGCCAAAATGTCAGGGCCTCTTATCATCACCAGCCAAAAGACTTGTGTCAACAGCCAGATTCCTGCCGACAAACCTCGCACAATCCTGCAAACCAGCTGCAGTTGGAATGTTAACCCCCAGTAGCAATATATATATATATATATATATATAATCCTTACAGGCCTCAAGACAATTGCGCACAGCTTTGGCCAGATACAAACATTAATGTCCAATAACAGTACAGAGTAAGCGTGACAAAAGCTACCCCTGCATAGGGGGAAAAGACTGAACCTTTGAAGCACATTCAGACCTGGAGCCGCAATGGCCATTTGGTAAGAGAAACAAATACGTCCCCTTGCATGGGACATTACTTCTTAATTTCATGAAAAAGAAATCACCTAGCAAGTGACTGGTATTTCCTCTATCAGACATTGGGCATTCATAGTCAAGTTGTTTTTTTGGTCAAGTTTCTTCGGTATAAAAGTAGCTTGCGCTTCTAAAACAGGAAGTGTGAGACAAAAAAGATCTAATGGAAGTTTTTTTAAAGTGTTTTAAACACTTCAACACAGCATAAACCCACAGCTCTTATTACTTTTCATTTAACTGATTTAGTTACATGTATATTGCACAGGCTCAGAACAGACGTCATGTCAATTCAGAGTAATGATACAGTCCAGTTCAAAGCAATCATAATCCCGGTCATCCCGGTAAATCCACTAATTATTGCTCTCATAACTTAACTTAAAAAAAACTACAGGGGAACAGGCTTCCTGATGTGCAGTGTTTTCCATAGCCTGAACAAACAGTGTGGCGGGAAGAGAAAGTCCACTCTAATCAATTGTTTTTATGGTATTTCCATCCTAGTAAAGGTCTAATGTCCTCATCAAACACTTTTAAATAATAAAATAATATTTTAAATAGCACACATAGAAAATGTACATGTATACATACATATGTATACATACATACATACATACATACATACATACATACATACATACATA